TATCTGTGATTTCCAGGAGAGACAAGGCTATAAGCCCTGTCATCTGACTTCATATAGCCGCCAAATCCCCAAGATCCCACTTCAGAGCCATCAGCTCTGCCCTGCCTGAGCTGTCTGGAAAGGTGTGTTCGACTTTTCATTATTGTGACAAAACACCTAGAGGACAACTGAAAAGATTAAAAACTTATTTTGGCTCATGATTTTAGAGGTTTCAGCCCATGGTAGACAGCTGCTGTTTCTGGGCTATGGTAATACAGTGCATCATGGTGGTAGAGGTGCAAAATTGTTCACCTTGTAACAGCCAGGAGGCAGGGAGAGGCCTGTGCTTTCTTCTTTCTCCCTTTATTTTATTTATTTATTTATTTATTTATTATTTATTTATCTATTTATTTTATCTGAGCCTTAACTTATGGGATGGTGTGACCCACCATCAGTAGGTATTCTTATCTTAATCATCACAGGAGAGAAGCTCCAGGGTGAGCATGTTCAGGAAGTTCTGAACTTTCAAAGACCCTGGCTGGACAGGGGCTTTTGTCTCTGGGCTTTTTTCCCCTTGTGCTCTTCACCCCATGATCTCTAATTTCTTCTACCTAAGTAATCAGTTCTGAGACTGAACCAGTTCTCATGATGCAGTCAATCTACCATCCATCCACATACCCCAAGTCTCCATCCATCCATCCATGCATCCATCCATCCATCCACCCATCCGTCCACCCTAGTGGCAATGTCATACAAACTCTACATCCACATGAGGCTGGGCACATGGAACACATTCATAAAGTTCACTCGTTTATAAAGTGAACAGAGCAATAGTGACGATCTTATAGGGCAGTTACCAGTATATACAAGAAAATATTCACAAAGCTCTGACTAAAACACTAAGCACTCTAGGATATTAACTATTGTCTTCATCACATACTAATTCACTCACCTAACACTTCCTGAGTGCTGGAATGTGCTAAGCTCTGGAGACACAAGTCTTGCTCACCGAGTTTACTGTCTGGCAGGAGGGTCAGGCATCAGGATTGATGGACTTGTGAAATTAAACTGTGATAGGCCACGCTTGATATGTGCTTCATTGAGCTGGCAGAGGTTGCCGTGGGAACATAAAGCAGCACGGAAATGGGGAGTCAAGGGAGACGTCTAGGAGGAAGGGACACAGAGCCTGTGACCTCAAGAATGAGGAGCTCAAAGAAGGATATAGGGCATGATTGGCTGAAAGTGGAACACATTCAAAGCCTAACGTGGGCAAGCTTTGCTTTCTAGGGCAGTAGCAATGGTGGGTGACTGGCATGTGAGGGCAGGCGAGAACAATGTTCTAGGGCACATCTAGAGATGCAGGGTCCAGGCCTAGATAAATTGAGCATTTAGGACATAAGCTATGAGGGGAGTGGGGGTTGAGCAGGGGAATGATCTGGCTCAGAAGGTAACTTTGGGGATGTGGTGGCCAGCTTAGAATAAGTGTGCCATCCAGATAAGAGCCTGGGTGAGATCCAGTGAACATATCCCCAGGGCTTTTAAAGCCACTTACATTGAAGGCCCAGATGCTGAGAGGCCAGCATGGGTATTGATCTCTTTGCTCCTGAGCTGCAGCCCTGCTCCATCTTCCTCTCCCTTGTCTACCTCTTTTGGCTAAGGTAGAACCCTCTTAGACTCACCAATCTGTTCAGTCTGAACTCCTAGACTGCTTTCTGGACTGGGGAGCATTAACTGGGAAGAGCAAGAGCTGGGACTTGCGAAGGTGGACTGGAACAGTAGGGAAGAAGGAGCAGGAGGAACTAGATGGGGTTGGGTAGGGCACGGCAGGACCATGCTTCTTCCTCAGACCACGGCACATGCTGATCCTTCTCCCTGGAGCATTCCTCTCACTTCCCTTGGCACACCACCTGTATCCTTCAGGTGTGCTTAGCTCTTGATCCTCCCAGGGTCCCCTTGCTCTACATCTCTTGCTCATCTCACTGTGTAGAAATTAGTTTTTGTGACTGTCTTTCCCAATAGCTGGGAGTTCTGTGAAGGCATTGCCTTATGGATCCTTGCATCTTAGCAACTAGCCTCTGATCTGGTACATAGATTTTATCACCTAAGAATGCAATGGATGGATGGATGGATGGATGGATGGATAGGTCAGAGAGTGAGCAATGGATAAGTGGATGATGGTGGAAGGGTAAGCAAGAAGAGTAGGCGAGTTCTAGAATGTTCACATGACTGCTCTGGGCTATCTCACTTCCATGAGAAATCTTTCCAGTGTTCCTACTGGAGAAGGCCCAGGAAATTTCTCACTTCCTGGATTATAATCCTCCAAATGAGCTTGTTGAGTCCTGTTCACTTGGCAGCTCCCTTCTCACTTCCTATCCTGAGTGTGTGACAGGCAATGAGCACAGTCACAATCTTGGCTTGGGCTGTGACTCAAGGTTAAGTCACTAACTCTTTCTGGGCCTTAAATGTCCTGTGTATAAAATCAAGGGACTCAGCATAGATATCTCTTCAAACATCAAAGGCTATTGTGGCGTTATTTCTTTTTCAGAGTTGGAGGAGGATACTCTGTAGCCCAAGCTGACCTGAAACCCACTACATAGCCCAGGCTAGCTGAAAATTCACAGTAATCTTCTTGCCTCAGCCTCCTAGGTACTGGGATTACAAGAGACATCAGGCCTGGCTGATACAATAGTTTGAAATGAGTATAGTCTATCTTTTATATTGTTTGGACCAAAAACCAAAACATCAAAAACCTAGTGTCAAATAATTGTTAAAAGATAAAAGTATAAAAATTGAAGGCCGGGCATAGTGGCTTACTCCTTTAATCCCAGCACTCAGGAGGCAGAGGTGGATCTCTCTCAGTTCCAGGTCAGCTGGGGCTACAGGGAGACCGTCTCAAAAAAAAAGACCAAAAAGAAAAAAAGAAAAAAAATTAACCATACTTTATATTTAGAAGGATGTTCACTGTCACAGTTTTTTGGGGTTTTGTTTGTTTTTTTTTTTTTTCAGTCTTTTTGAGACAGGGTCTCCCTGCAGCCCCAGCTGTCCTGGAACTATGTAGACCAGGCTGGCCTTGAACTCACAGAGATCTGCCTGCCTCTGCCTCCCGAGGGCTGGGATTAAAGGTGTGCACCACCACTCTGTCACAAAGTTTTTTAAAAAAAACAAAACTATTATGATCATCTTGAGCCATCCAGTGGCTATTTCATAACACCTAAGAGCTGTGTGAAGAACCCTTTTAGCTCCAACATGGAGGTCTCTGGGCCTTCATACCTTCCCATGGGCTCCAAGACTTAAACAATCACTTCCCTAGGCTGGGGATAGAGGGTACCTGGGGGTGGGGGGAGAATGTCAGGACGCTGTGCTATGAGAAGCTTGAAGTGGTCTAGTTAGCTGCCACCAGCGATGCCCTGGACACCTGCACATAGCCATGGGAATGAGAACTCAATACCCCCCCACTCCCATTGAACAACATATTGCTTTGAACAAGTGGTATAAGAACTCTAGGCATCATTTCCCAGACACTGAAAATTCATGAAGGTCTGAGCTGGGTAGACTTGGCTATGGAGACTCACAGGCAGACACAAGAAACACTGCACAGGCTGATTGTCTAGATTTTTGCATAAGACCAAACAGTCTGGGGGTGACTTTTTTTTTAAAGCCTAGAAAATGACACCAAGGCCCCCTGCCACCCCATTAAGAGTGCAGAGGTTAAGGATGGTGGCAGAATTGTTTACTGTGGATTCATTAGGAGAGCACTTGGCAAACCTTTTTCTGCACCTGCAGATCATGAAAAATGCAGTCTGATTTCTAAGGAGCTCCCAGAAGAGGCCAAAGTGCTGAGCAGAGGGGAGGAAGGGCAGGTGGGTGACCTGAGGAAGCAGTGAACACTGGAGTAGCAGAGGCTTGCTGTGCTTGAGGCTGGTGGGTGGAAACAACACTGTGGTGTTTGGAAGCCACAGCCCCTGAATGGCACCTTCCACTTACACTTGGGCTTCTGGGATAGGAACTGAGTCTGGCTTATGTCTTGTCAGACTCAGAAATGGGAGTCCTTTGTATAACATACCTGCACATTTGTGTTCACTAGTAAGCTACCTTTCCCTCCACTCCCCTGGGGCCATTAAACCCAAACTTCAACCAACTTTTGGCTATTATAACCATCCCCACCCCCTCCAGTTCTCTCTTGAGTGAGGCTGGTCCAGAGGGGCCACAAATAGGATGGAGCTGAAACCTCCAGTTGTGTTCCTTTTCCCTGTGGCCAGTCCCCTCTCCAGCCAATGACCTAAGTAGGCAGCTGTTTGCTCTAGGCAGACTTCATTCTGAGACCCTCAATGTAACTTCTAGTGTTGTTCCCCTTTAGCAATGAAGGGGTAGCAGGCAATTGTTGGTATGATTGATAATGACTTGGACATGGTACCAAGCTGGGAACTGCAAACCCTGGGTCCTACTTAAGGCTTTTGTCAGTAGTGACACGAAAGACTGAGAACTCTCAATCTCCTCTGCCCTCCCACCTGGCCCTGCCTCCTGGGGATAGACTCAGCCTTTCCTGCCTTGCTCTGTCTTAACCATGAAAAGCACACCTTTGTGACCCAGAGATTGAATGCCCTGTTACACCTAAATTTATTAAGCTTTAAAAATAATGGTCTAGTTTTTTGTTCGGGGATTCTGATGATCATATACTATGAAATTCCTTAATGTTTTATCCAAACAGCTTTGTGTGGACAAGCCCTATGCAACTCTGGTGCTACCAGCTGGCCTGCCTGGCCCTTGGGACCTATCTCAACCAGGAGTTCTTATCCCTCTGTTGGGTGCTTAGATGGGGAGATGATGCAGGATTAGAAAGCCCAAGAGCCCTGAACAATCAAGACTTTTTAGAGGGTGGAGGAGAGTGTGGCTTTGACATGACATAGATGTGGGGCTCTATGACAGGCTACCCAGGTTCTAGAATCCAAGTGGCCCTAAGCCTTCCCAGGCATGACCCACACACTGGAGAGAAAAGGCAATTAAAACACAACAACCAAACCAACCTTTAAATAGCAACTTTTAAAAATATAAAAACAGCTCATTACAATGACTTTTCAATTTTCTTTTTTTTTTCTTCAGGAATAACTTTCTTCTACCCTCATCACCTCTTCTGGCTACAGCCTTAACAAGAGGTGGACGGTGACCATTTGAGACCCAGAGACAGACAGACGGACAAACTCTGGACACACCTCACCAAAGGTGCCATGCCCACTTCATGTCCAGATTTGTCGTGTTGGGGACAGCTGCTCATCAGGAGCACCTGGAGATGGGCAGATTTCACAGGAAGCCCTTTCTTTCTACACCAAGTCCCACATTATAAAATAATCCATAAAAATGCAGTATAAAAACTCTTCCATACGCTACATCCATGGAGAGCTCACCAGCAGAGCTCACACAGCCTTTAGCTTTTCTTTAATAAAACAACAAAAAACAAAAACAAAACAATCCTAATACCTCGAACATTGGTACCAAAAGGTGGTACCTGCAGATTACATTCTACCTGTAATCTGCCTGAGCCTACAGATAGCTGCAAGTCACCACAGTGCACCAGGCTGTGTCCCCCAGCCCAGCTCCCAGTCCACTGCCCTGCCCAAAGGCAGACTTTCAGACTCTACAACCATGTGGTTTACCATTTCCCCCCACTTTGAAGAGAGGAAGGGGCTGAAAGCAGAGAAGGGGAGAAGGCATTTTATGAAAGGATATCACTTCTAATTCTTTTTATTCAAATTAAAAATAAAAATAAAAGCACCCACACCAGTTGCTGTTTTCCTCTGGTAGCTCCCTGAGCTGAGTTGCTTTGTTCCCCCTCTAACATGGTATCCTTTCTAGGCTGTACTGGGGAGTCAGAGAGGGGGTTTCCCTTGAACCTCCATTTCTCATTGCAGTGACTAAGTGTGCACCAAAGAGAAAGATGGGGTCCAGGGCGACAAGAGATGGATAGACGCCTGAGAGAGTGAGAGATGGTGAGGCAGACAGGGCAGAGGAACCCACAGGAAATCCTCGCTGTTCCTGTGGGTGGCGGCCCAGGCTGGCCCATCCCATTACTACCTATCAGTCTGTCTGTCCTTCTGCCTGCCTGCTTGGTACTCCATCTAACATGCCCTGGCTGGTACTCAAACCCGTATGGAGGTGTGCTCGTCCCTGGTGGTCAGGTTGTTCACCCACTCCCAGGAAGTTTCTCGTTTTATACCCCTCTTCCTCTTCCTGCCCTCCCTAGCCCATGGGAACATCTGTTTAAAAAAAAAGAAAAGAAAAAAAGCCACCACCACGAGTGGATTACAAATACAGCAGGCAAAATACACAGCTTCGGTGGGAAGGGGCCTCCTCTCCCACTGGCCAGTCGGCAACCGCACTCTCTTATTTACATTTTTCACAAACCTTGTGCACTGCACAATCAGGAACAAGACACCCCTCCCAGAATATCAATGTGGTCTACTCCAGTGTCCCCACCCAGGGTGTGGAGGGGACAGGTCAGAAAAAAGGGAGAAAGAGACGGAGACTCATGAGGGTGTCTGTGGGGGGAAACGGGGACAGAAGCCTCCAGGTAAGTCTATTTGAAGCATCTGCCAGCACTCGTAAGGGGGAGAGGAGAGAGTCCATCTGAGTCTCTCAGACACATCAGTTCATGCCCAGGAGCCCAGGCCACGAAGGGGCGCCCATCCTCTCTGCCCTCCAGAGTGCAGCCCCACAGAGCTCGCTGCTCGCCCATTCCTCTGCCATCCTTGGGGCCTGGCCTGCGTCTCCCTATCAGAGCCGCGTGGGTGTCTCCCAGAGTTTGACAGCCCTGTTAGAGTCCTTGTTCAGTAGATGACCTCGTAAACTGTGGCCTTCTTGTCACCAGAGCCTGTTACAATATATTTGTCATCCGCTGAAATATCACAACTCAAGACAGACGAGGATTCTTTAGACTGGAGGAGGAAGACGAGGAGAAATGGGAAGGCAGTTAGTGTGGAGAAAAAACAGATGGGAATTTGTTCCGGGCACTCCCCTGCACTTGCTTCAGGGCTCTGAATGCAATCACCTCCCATCCTCAACAGCTCCCGTTCTGAGCAGGCACAGGCAGGGAGGGGCCAACCTCTGCCAAGGCCTAGAGCACTGCTCCCACCTGCCTCTCCTTATAGAAAAGCTCATGACTGACTCCAGTAGGATCTTCAGCCCAAGGTGTAAGGGTGGAAACTGGACACTCTGCAAAGGGTTTTCTGCTATGTTCACTGGCAGGAAGGAGCATTCCTAAACTGCAGTAGATGGATCCTCAGCTGGATGAGCCAGGGCTGGCACCAAACTTTGAGACCCTCAACATAACCAGAGACCTTGAAAGGGACATGTGTGGCATATGGGACACCAGATATTTTAGCAAGAAATGGAAAGTGGCTTGCTGTGATTGTGTGTGTGTGTGTGTGACCGTATGTGTCTAAAGTAGAGGGCTCTCAAGCTTAAAAACTTACTTTAAAAAACTGTCATATCCTCCCTAGCATCCTCTCTCACACAGATGGTCACAGTGGCCATCCTAACTTGACCAAGCATCAATGGCAGAAAGGACTACTCCATGGGCCAAGCTGCCCAGAGCTGGGTATGCTCACTTTGCCTTACTCTGTCCCATGTGAGTGAGCCCCTACAGAGCTCCTACCCTCGGGGCACAAACCTTTAAGCAGGAGAAGGTATGTCTCACTACAGCTCCCAAACCTTCTCCTCTGGAGCTCCCATCTATTAGGGGCTAGGCAGAGACAGGGGCAGGCCTGCTCCCAGTTCCTGGTTCCCTGTGTCCTGCCTGCCCGCTGTGTGTGCTCTTGCCCCATCACTTGGCCCAGTCCTGACTCAGGAATAGTCGGGAGGAGAATGAGGAGAGGCGCACCTGGAAGATGCTGGCTCCGTAGGGCGTCCTCCAGGCATTGAGAAGGTTGTCTTTCCCAGTGCTCACGAACCACTTGCCTGTAGGCAGAAGCAGAAGAACCTTCAGGCTGTGGCTCACTGTCCTGGACAGCAGACCCGGCCCAGATGTAAATGGCTACCATGGAAACACCCCAACACTTGCTAATGGGGGCTTAGTGCTGCTTTCCACTCATGAGAGGCATTTGCAAGCAGGGCACATGAACACCCCATGGACGCCTTGCTCTCTACCCAGAGGGAGAGCCAGGAGGCCAGGACAGGGAAATAAGGTTCACAGTTAGTTACAGTGACTGCAATCTCCCAAAAGATTTCCACTGAAGCCACTAAGATCAATCGGCCCTTCTCAATCCACTACTGGAAGATGGCAGGGAGCATGGGGAACAGCAAAGCCCTAACAAGTGTGGAGAGTCAGTATCAGTAAAAGATAGAGGTCAGAGTGCTTTCCTTCAGATAGGCTCTCAAGCCATGTCTCTGGATATTCTAGGGTCCCAATACCCCCGAAGCCACAGCTCTCTCCCCTAGAGACAAATCCTTTGGAGTCAAGAGATATTTCCACAGCTCCCCAGCTCATACTAAGGAGCAGGCTACTGGATGCCAAAGCTTGTAGCCACAGCCTCCACAGGAACTATCTGAACTGCTTCGTATCCTAGTCTTTTTGCCCAGGTTAACAAGAAGGGCCCCAAGAGCTCAGTGTCCCAGGGTGACCTCTGTGTCCAAGGGACAAGGATGAGGGACAAGAAAGATACTTCCCTCCAAGTTGTTGACGGGACACCGGCATGGCTCACTGTAGGACTGCAGAACCTGGCCCTCCCCGAAAGTCCCATCAGATCAAGCCTCTGACTCTGCTTCCCATGACAGGCTGGGGCCCCAAGGCTCACCACAGTAGGCAAACTTGAGGGACAGCACACAGCTCTCATGCAGATGGAGCTGATACTTGTCAGGCTTGGTGTGGTGCAGGACTTCCACGTTGCTGCTTTCCATGCCCACGGCCAGCCACTCCCCAGTGGGGCAGTAACCCAGCGAGAAGATCTGCAGAGACAGAGAGCTCAGTATCTACTGCCCGCAAGGCTGGAACAGCTAGCTCTCTAGGCTGCGACCCACCTCATACTACATCCACCATTTACAAACTCAGCCCATTAACCAACTGCACATTGGCCTAGGGGACCAAGATGTCATTTCTACTCCATTCTACAGTGGAGGAAGCTAGACACCAAGAAGGGGCACTTTTAAGAATGCAGGCAGTGGGGCCAGGGTTCAAAAGCAAAGCAGTATGCTCGCTCCTTAATATTGAGCATCTAAATTAAAATATTAAAGCAAGCGTAAGAGAAATAAAAAGCAGCAATAGTTGGCCTTTACTGAATGCTACAAGGCAGGCTCACGGTCAAGGTTTTTAGGAGGCTTTAGTAAGGCCACGCTCACTCTACATTCTCTCATCATTTCCTCCAGAAAGCCTTCCCAGATGGCTGTGTGTGATCCCTTGACAATGAAGACCCCATGAGATCCCCCTGTGCCGACTCAGGTGCTGGAGCCTCAGAGAAGAGGGGCACACAGTGTTGGGGCTGCATACCTGGGAGGTGAAGTCATGTTGCTGTAGCTGCCGCCCCTCCCGCAGGTCCCAGGAACGCACGGTGTTGTCCAGGCCCCCAGTCCACAGTTTGGTGCCATCATGGGAGATGTCTATACAGCTGGCTCCATCTGTGTGGCCCTGGAACTGCCTGTGACAGTCAAACAGAGAAGGGTGAGCCCCTGGCTGCCAGTAACCCCAGGAAACAAGCCAGCTCTACAGCAAGGCCAGAAGAAGACACTGAGGCCTGGACCCTTAAGCAGCAGGAAAGCAGAGGTAGGTTGGACTCTTCCCACTCCATTAAGGGGTGTTGCTGAGGACAGATTCCATGAAAACGGGGGTAACCTCTGATTCCAAGTCTGTCCAGGTGGACATCTTAGCAAGCCCTCTTTATAGGAGGCAGAGCTGGAGGCTCCGAAAGGAGATGAAGGCAGGAAGATCCTAGAGGACTGTGAGATGTTTCAGAGTAAGCAAGCCCCTGCCTTTGGGATACATGCTTCAACCGACACTTGACATGGATTCGATTAATCGTTAACTGTCCTCCTCATCCTGCAGATTTTAAGGCTGAAGTCCACAGCGAGCCCAAAAATCTTATGGACAGTACTAGGACTGACTATGGGTGGATCCTGCTGTCCACTATCATGTGGTGTGACTCAAGAGGATATCCCAGTTCACACAGGGCCTTAAAAGTGACCTATACAAGATCTCAGAGGCAGGACTCAAGCTCAGTCCAAGCCCCAGCAGTAAGAACACTGCTCTTTCTCCCGCCCTCTGCTGCCCTGCTAGACCTGCTCCAGCTCTGCCATCTCCCTATAGCCTCCCCCAACTGCTTCTTGCCCAAGGCAGGCCAAGCTAGCTTTTCCCTTACCCATCCCTTCACACCTCCAAAAGAACCAAGATCACAGCAAACTGTTGGGTTGGGTGAGTGTAAACACCCGAGCTGCTCCCTCGCCAGCCTCACCTGACCAGTGTCTGGTTGTGTAGGTCCCACACGGCAATGTTTCCATCGCTGCAGCAGGAGAAGCAGACTTTGGCATCAGGGCTGATGGCCAGGGCGTAACAGGCGGGGGCTGAGGACGTCAGCTCGGCCTTGATGCGAGGCGTCGGGGAGGCCAGGTCCCAGATGGTGAGCGTGCTGGCCTCTCCACCCACAATGAGTGTGCGCCCATCTGGAAGCAGTTTGCAGGAGCGGATGTAGTTGTCCCTGTTCTAGAAGGAGAAGGGGGACAGGGGCGTAGTTAGGTTATGTGCTGCCCCCTTGCTCTCTCGTGGACCAAGAAAGCCACATTAGGTAACACTTAGTATCCTTTTGACCCAAGCCCTGGTCATCAAGTGTCAGATTGCCCCAATCCTCAAATTTACACCCAGTCAGTCTCTCAGGCCTTTCTCTACAAACTCAATAAGCCTATGAACCTTGCAGTCAGCCCCACTTGCAGATGGCCCAATGTGGGATCAAACACATTGGCCAGCTTACTCAAAGCTGCTCAGCCAACCCATGGCTAAGCCAGGCCACTGACTTTCCCCTGTGGCCCAGGTTGTCTGGCCCTCCTCTGCCTCCTACACCCTAAGGGATGCTTGCAGAGCATCTGTTTGCAGAGCCCCAGTCTCTCACCAGGCAGTCCAGTTGGGAGATGGGACTCTTGCTGCCTGGCTGGCTGATGTCCCAGATCTTCACACAGCCCTTGCCACCTGTGTAGACGTGCCGAGTGGGGTTGCTGATAGTCACGGCACATACTACCTCCCCATGGCTGAGCGTGTTGATCTGCCGGGCATGCCTGGGGATGCCAGGGCCTGCTAGCGCATCATGGGGGAAAGGCACGGGTTGCATCTGCCCATCAGCACTCACGTGGAAGGAGTACGCCCTGCAAGAAGGAGGCGGGTCACTCCTACCATTCACCCTCCAACCAGGTCGATGTGCTTTTCCCTCTCTGCCCTAAGAAGCAGTCAAGAAACACAGCCAGCACTTACGGTTTCCCTCCAGGAATGGAGGCAAGGCTCGAGGGCAGGCCTGTAGCCCGCATTGGGGGGTGAGGGTCAAAACCAACCTGCAAAGAAAGGCAAACCCCCTTGAGTCAGTTTGCCACCATACATCCCCTCCTGTTCTCCTCTGCCACCTTGCTCTGGACCTGCAGTACCCTTGGCCTCTCCAGAATCAGGTGATGAACAGCATTGCTCAGTAGAGCCCATTTCAGAGAAGCCAAAAGGCCTCAAGACCTGGCCAAAATGGTAAGAAGATAGGGTGGCAGTGTAGAACCCAACTTTGAACCAGCATCTCCTGCTTTGCTAGGCAGAGTGAGGCTCACTTTATTTTTCTCCTTCTTGAATATGTTGTGAGGCTCAATGGGGGACACCTCAGGTATAAGAAGAACGGAAAGAGACTGTCGTGAAAAGGGGGCCCACTCTGCAATCCCCAATCCTAACTGTTCATCCACCACCAGTCACCACTGTCCTACTTCCTAAACACCTACTACCTGGATGGCACTAAGCGCTTACTTAGTTTCCCATTCCCTTTCAGGTATTAGTCCCAAGTGCCAGAATAGAGGAGGCAGCTCAGGAACACCCTATTAAGGTCAAATGACAACTGACAGGCAGGTGAGAGTGAAACCCAGGTCTACCAACCCACGGCATGTGCCCTGTTAAATGGACCTCAACTCTCTGAAAAATATTCTCCCATTGGGGTAGCTGCCCCCAGGGTGTCTACACCCAAGGGCCCCTTTAGCATGTAGGGAACCCTACCCCAACCCCACGAGCTCCCTACCCCCTGTCCAGCCCCTCCCCCCAAAGGAGCCAAAAGGTCTACGTACAGCTCCAAAGCTCACCATTGGCGATCGGCCATAGGCAGCAGCAGCAGCTGCCGCAGCCGCACTCATCTGGGGTGGGATGTTGTGCAGGCCGGCGTAGGCGCTCGGGCTGGTGAGGGAGCCATTCATTTCATGGTGGCTCATCATGGCAAAGGGTGCCGCATAGGAGCTGGTGATGGAGATGGGCGTGCGCAGGGCCGAGGCTGTGAGGTGAGTGAGGAGGCATTAGTGGGGAGTGGGTCCACCCTCCTGCCAGACAGTGCTGGAGCCACAGCCTTCTTGCATTCTGAAGCAGCCAACCAATGAACTAACCCACTGGGATCCCTGACTTCAGAACCCAAGGTTGGAGTCAGAAGACATGCCCATCTTTTTCTACTGAGCAGCATCTAAGATCCACAGAAGGGAGCTTGTTCAGAGCCTCGCCAAATTAACAATAAAGATGAGCGCAGGTCTGGAGGTACCCTAACCTGTCTGAAGCTCCTCCCATGGACCTGGCCCAGCAGCAGCCTTATAAATCCCAATACATACATCAACATCAAAAGTCTAGGCTTTCATCTCCTTAAATCTCACTATGAATACTACTGGGCAAACCTAGGAAGTCCCAGTTGGGACATACCACTTGTGCTCTCACCCACCCACGTGGCTCCAGCCTAGTCAGGGACCACCCTTCCCCCCGGCCCCCATCAGATCGACCCAGGCCCATGGTGCCTACCCATTATACCTATCGGGTCCATGCCCGGAGGTTTGCCTGGCATGGACCGGAGCCCCGGGGTTGTGCTGGTGCCTGGAGTTGGGGCATCATTCCTTGGAGTTGGTGTGTTGGATTTGAGCCCAGGAGTGGAGGATTTATCATTCTGAGAGGGAAAATCACAAAGACCAAGGGAAGCCATGAGGATTCCTTTCTCCCAAGGGATGGGCAGAATGCCTAGCCCCCAGTCCTACATGAAGCCAGGCATGGGTTGAACAGAAGTCCCTATTTGGCAGGGACTGTGGTGAAGATTCCAATCTTACAGATCAGAAACCAAGGCTCAGAAACATTCAACAGTGAGGGCCTCAGCCAGGATGGGATAAGAGCAAAGATTTAAACCCAGCCAATTTCCACAGCCACCCTGCAACTGGCATTACTTGAGTTCTAGTCTCCACACATCTTCCATTCCCTCTTCCCCTCCTCCGTAAGGTGCCAGGGCAGAGCCCACATACATGACCAAGGTCTTTGGTCTTGGATGAAGGTGTGCTGCTGGAAGAGGCCACCGAGGCGGGGCTGGTGGGGGCATCCTTCTTCAGGCCACGGGCTTTGTCCAGTCCATTTTCAGGAGGCGAGTGTGCTGGGCTCACCCGGGGTGTCGCTGGGTCCTGAAAGCAGAAGTGATACAGAGATGCTCTAAAGCTGCCCTGTCCTAGCAACAGGAAGGTGAGAGGGTGGTGGGCAACTAGCGCCTAACAATCTGGAGCCCGAGCCCTTCACCTCACAGATGGGGAGACCAGGGCCTGCCTCAGATCACACAAGTCCAGAACTCTTAGTTGGCAAGGCTGGACTCGGCCTTATGAAGAGTCTCTCCAGTAACTCACACCCCCACCTCTGGGCGGGATGGATAGGGCCACCTGGAGGACTATGGGAATAGAAGACTGCTGCTACCTGGGATCTTTCAGTATACACATAGGCCTAGCCAAAGCCTATGCAGCAAAGCCCTGCCCTACCCTCCTGCTCCAAAGATGCTCCAAGACCAGAGGCCTTGTTCCCTTGTTCTGGCAGCAGTAAAACAGACTTTACCCCGGATGTGTGCCAAGCCACCCCAGCTAGGGGTCTGCCCTTACCTCATTAGAGACATCCACTACCAAATCATCACTTTTGTCCCCATCACTGTCCTACAACCAAAAGAAAAGCCAACCAGTCAGTAAGAGCCCACTCTGCATTGCCAACCCTGTCCCCGGCCAAACCCCAAAGTCTGTATGAGCAGCACTCCATGACAAAGCTGGCCTGCCTCCCCGGTTCTTCCTAGCTCAGCCTCTGGAGCTCTGGGGTTTCTGGGCAGCCTCAATGGCACCTGCCCCAATACTGTATCTCTAAGCTTTCTCAAACCAGAACCTCTTCCTAGCTGGTTTTCTGGCTGTTGACATTAACAAGATGGCATGCTATTCTCAGTCACTCTGGGATGGATGACTGGCTTCATCTCACAAAAACATAGCTGAGCTTTGAGAGACTGAAGAGAGCTTACAGAGCCCCAGAGTCCCAGCTTTCAACACTTTTGGGTCTGCCAACGGGGGACACATGGCCATGTTCCCACTGGGGTATCACATGCTAGGATCATTGTATCATCAGGTTGTTAGAAGTCTTAGCTCAGAGGCTGAATGCTTGAGGTGGACTGTGAGGACTGTAGGACTCACATCAGGGATGCCAGGGTGTTCCCTTTGAGCAGCACTGGACGAGCTGTCTAGAGAGCCTTTAGCTCTCACTAGGCCCCATGTAGGCTGGGACAATGTCCAGGCCCATTCCCTTCACAATGGCTTAATTGTCCATAAGCTGTGCATGAACCTTCCTCTGGGCTCATCCCACCAATCTCTCAGACTCATTGTCCACCCTCCAGAGAGTTGGGGCCATAGCACTGGACACATCTTGGGCCCCACCCCAACGCAACGATGTCCAGCTGCACCTGCCAACCCCGACATACGTATCGACTCAGGCTGTCCTTTTCCTCCGCTTTCCGCTTCTTGGCTTCCATGCTGTAGTCTGCAGAGCCCCGGTGCTTCTCACTCGCCCGGAGACTTTCCGAAGGCGACACAGAGTTGTTCTGGAAAGCAAGAAGATCTTGGGGGTCAAAACTTTGTGCTGAATGGAGTATTGCACACAGCCTCTGACACAACTAAGCACGGGGGACAGAGGATGGAAGACAGCCCCCACTCTGTGTCTGTAGACCTGGTCTACAAAGGACATTCCCAGGGTGCCCTCAATCTTTTGGAAGCAAGAGACTACTGTCCAACAATGAACCTTGCAGTGAGTGGGCTGTTTCCTGTATTTCATGAAGGCGAGAGGGGTGCTTGTGACTCACTTGGGTAGTTGACACAGTAATATACTCAAAGGAAGGCTGACTCTTGAAAGTTTATCAAAGCCATAGAGAACCACGTGTAGAACTTCCATTATGAAAGAGGGTGCTGGGTTGCTGACAAAGCCCTAACCACAGTCCAGGAACTGTGAATTCCCTGCTCCTACACAGCCAGACCTCTACTAACCTGAAGAGGCACCAAGGTCATAAAGAAACAAACCCTGCAGGGTCAGCAAGCCTTCCCCTTAAAAATGAAAAAAGTGTCCAGTCTATAAAGAGGAGGGTCAACACAGAGGAATCATTTCCTCCATGCTTCCAAGCGAAGCCAACCATGTTCGAGCAGGACCTTTGACTTATCTCCACACAGGCAGAACTGGTAAAAGAAAGGAGCCAGGGGCTCCTCCCAAGCCCATGTGACCCCTGAGGAACAGATCCTCAAACGACCTTAAGAGTTTATCTGGACCAACTGTGTGGCCTTAAACACCCAAAAGGAAAGTATAACCAAAGATTAAAGGGGCCAATATAATTT